AGGGGAAGGGGAGTTGTCTTTTTTTTTTTTACCTCATATCTATTGTTCGATTATCAGCTGAAATCCCATTCCAGGGAACTCCATCACCTACAAGTCCTTCTGATCAACTCTGCAGCTTCAGCTAAGGGTATTAAAAAAACACTTAAACTTATAACAACTGCTTTTATATACACACAGTTACTAAAACACAATACTCAGGTCAGTAAGGTTAATATTCAGAGTGCTAAAGAGCTCTGTTAGGAAGACAAATCACAGCAACTTCTAGCACTGACTGAATTCCCCTTACAAACTGATTAGGCAGCTACCAGCTTGCATAGTATAAATCTATTCACTGCAAGCCACAAGGTGGAGATCTCTGGCATAGTAAGATCGAAAGGAAGTCTTTTACCCAGCCTAATGTTACTATTAACACTTTGAGCCATTGCATCAAGCCAATTTTTCTGTTTGTTTTTAAAGTTTGATAGAAATGTCACTAGTGGAAAAATTAAGTCAAGAGCACTGGTTAGCCACAGAACTGGACACACCTGGCTGCAAACCCACCAAAAGAAACTGACTTCATTAGTACTAGGGACAGCAGAGTAAAATTTATATCTGAAATATGCCTGCACCAGTAGAATTTGCTGAGGCCACAGGCTCTCTGTGTGTTTTTACAGCTGTGTCAAGTTTTGGTTTCTGACTCTTGCCGACATTCAGGAGTGCTGAAGGAGCTCAGGCTAACAGGTCCCAAAACTTTGTAGCTGAGATTTAGATCTCAGCAGTTTTAACAACCAGGTTTTGAAATAATACAAACTCCATTTGGAGTTGGAGGTGATGTAAATTAGTAGTTAAAATGCCTTACATTCTATCACTTTCAGCTCCAATGAACTTGTATATTTAAGAGCAGATGGCATATTTTAATAAACCATCAATATCAATTCAGGAATATAGTATCCATTGTCTGCATCAAGTGTTGGAATTGTTGCTAGATGTGGAAACAAGCTGAGGAACTACAGCTTTGTCTGTCAACAAGTTAAACTAACTGCATCCAACTAGCAATTTTACAGAGGTGCTCTGTCACTTATACTACAATAGAAGAATGTACCAATCAGAGTTAAATACTGACCTTTGATACCCTACATGAGACAAAAAGTAAGGAATGGAATATCCTAGACACTAACTTAGTGCTGTAAAAGTGTTCAGTAAAGTTTCTTTTCATTTAACTTACTTCTGACAAAGGCTCAGATTCTGAAATTTGAAAGCGTCAACAGAGGAACATAAATGTTGTCTTCTTTTGGAGGTAGTATATATACTGATTGCAGGACTAAATTACTTGAAAATAAATAGCTGTTACACATATTCCTCAATCAGCTCACAAACCCTTTGTCATTATGTCAACTTCATTTTAGAACCATTAGGGACAAATACACCAAGATTAGTAAGTAGATCCTAACACTCAGGCTAACTGCCCTTTACTTATTTCTCACTCCTTGCTATTGCTAAAGATGAGATGTGAAAAAGAGTTCAATCGGGGCACATCTGGGGCACGGGGAGGAAAGTAAGTGAAGAAGAGTGAACAAGCATGGCAGAAACAGGAACTGCTCATTGTGGGGCATGGGTGAAGTAGTATATTAAACTAGGATCACTAGCACCAAGGAAGGAAAATAAAGCAATGATAAGGAGCAAGGGAACAGCTAACCTCTTCAAACATCAATGCATAAATTAGTTTAATCTAACGTACAATAAATACTACTAGAAGAGACAAAAAAGTTAATTCATCTTGACAAAATAATGAATGATAGATTAGGAATAATGGAAAGATGAAAGGAAAAAAACCCACTAGAAGATTATGAAAGCCCTATGCCTTCACAAACACTATGGGGAAGAGAACATTTCTAACTTCCAAGTTTACAATCTATGCTTTCTTACACACCCTTAATGCCTGGTCTAGTAAGCTGTTACCTCAAGAGTTCACGTTCTCTCACAAGGAGTCTCATTAAAATCAATGGGCCTCTGTGCAGCTAAACTATATTAAATATACACACAGATGTAACTGTTTTTGAGATCAAGCCTTTAAATGTGTACATACTTCATTTTAGCATCAGCTATTGCCACATAAAAGCTATGTTAACACTAGGTTACAGTCAAAAGTATATTATAGGAATCATATTATTGCAAACTAAGCCTGTTCATTATTACATGGCATGCTCATTACTACAAACAAAGATTACGAAATTTAAATTCAAGGATAAACTGAAAAGATGCCTAACCTGCCAAGGCAGAGAATGAATGGCATTCAAACAACCTGAGCTCTCCTTACAGTTGCATCATACAGCAACCATACCAATTATAATATGCATGTAATAACATTTGAGGCTCCAGATTGCATGAAAACATAAGGATAGTGGAGTTTTTTTACCCTTTGAGGAATTTTGGGGAGCTATGGAAGAGTTTAGTTTGCAGAAACGGAAACCCTTTGCTTCCCTTTACAAAGAGCTGACTGTAAGCACTGTCTTTTTTTTTTTTTTCTTAGAGTTTACTGAAAAAAAATCTTGATACAGGTCTAACTTAGACCATGCTTTATTTCTGAGTTCTGTATCCTTGTAAGGGTAGCAAATGACTAGCTCTGCTTCTCTTTGCTGCTGCTTCAAATCCCGCAAGGAAAACTACAAGATGGCATTTGAGGTTAGTTCATATAAGGCAAAATGAGGATGAAAAGGAACAGAGAAATAATTTCCTGTTTCAAAGCAGCATTCGCTCTTTGCACAGATGGAATCAAAAGATCTCTGAAGAGATTCTGGGGGGCTTTGGGAGGTGGAGTGTTTGGCTAGGTAGTGCTGGTGGTTTGTTTTTTTTCTTTTCAATAAGAGCAGCCTTCAATTTATACCCAGAATGAAGATCTGAGCTGCCTCCAGTTCCTACAGAGAGCAGAATCAACCACTGATAGGACACTGAAGGCATCGGATAAGGACAAAAATGTGTAAGCTGTTTGATTCAAACTTCTCCTCTAGTACTATCATCTAATTTGTCTAGGCTCACTCACACTGCCTTATGGTATCTGACCAGGACAGTGAAGATTCCTATACTGTAATCTATGTAAACCATTAATGTAGAAAGAAATTCTAAAATGTCTGAATTTAGACTGAATCCAAAAGAAGATTAAGAGGATGATTTCTCTTTAAAAGCAAGCTGTAACATACTAAAGCTATGAAATTTCCAACAATTATGAAGAGAGCCACTGCTGATGGAATAACTCAAGCTGCACCAAAATCAACACTTTCTAAAACCACATACAAAATAAAAGATCAGAGAAGCTTCTTGAATTACTAGCAGGATCACATACCAAATCCCAACTCACTGGTTAATTCCCTTGTTTGTCACCAATAGGGATACTGTAGCAGCCTCTCCAAATATGGCTGACAACTAAGACTTGACAATATGCCATTATTGCTCTATGAAAACTGTCACTTCTCTAACAGTACAATTTATTTTAATCACAGACAAACCTCTATTTAATCATTGAACAATTCTTTTTCCACAACACAGGAGATCTTTCCCAGCCCTATTCTCCCACTAGAAGTTCCCTGAATGTAGGCACCCTCAAATGTATCGGGTCCCCTGTCACCACTGTGACACTGGGGTTATGAAAACTATCTCCTCCTTCGATCCCTTGGGCCCTGCCTCCTCTGAAGACCATCACCAACACAAGGCTGGAGAAACACACTTACAGACTTTAAGGCCAGAAATGACCATTACAACTAACTAGCATCACCTTCCTCAGAACAGGCCAAAAAGATCCAATCTTGTTCTTCCTTCAAACTTGCAAATGAACTATCCTTGGAGCTATTCTCTCCTTACAATGTTTTATTTGTGATAAAGACTAGGTATACAGAAGAATCCAAATGAAAAATAAACTAGTGACTCGTTATAGTCATGTACAGTAACTTAATGTAAAAACCTTGTCTCTTAAGTTTCCTTTTACTCAACACCCTAGATGCAGAGAAAACTCAAATCTCAAAACTAGTTAAGTTGCAGTTATACATTTGGCACCAGTCACGTTTCTCCCTAACTCATCTGCTTATTTCTATCCGCAAATGCCCATTCTGCTTTAGCAGCATCCATTTCTACAATCACATGGCAAAGCACATGGAAAATTAATTACTTTCAGACAAAGCAGTATCTTCACCCAGGCCGTGGTGCAGTTTCAGAAACAAGGTCAGTGGCTCAGTACAACAGGCAGTACAGCTGCAGGAGTGAATGGTCAGGAGTAAGGGCTACATATAGCAGCTTACACTAATAAATAAGCAAGCAGCTACAGGTTGATTCATAGGCATTTTTCTAAGATATGCAAAGTTACAAAAGCACTGAAAGATGTGAAATCATCAAGATTATCACCACCAAAGATGACTTACCCCCATCACCTTACCACGCTGTTCAACGTCCTCCCACATGCAGTGAACTATATAGCGACACATGTATTTCCCTGTGCGACCCTCCTGCTTCATTCGTAGCAGACACATCCTGCAAGAATATAAACACCAAATTCATCATTTCTAGTTTTCCTTCAGATGTAAAGAGTAAATTAAATATATTTAAGTTCAGTTAAGATTCTCCCTACAATTTTGTTTTTGTTATCAGGAAAAAAACACCACAGATGTCTAAAAAACCCCCCCCCAAACTATCAGAAACTCTTCTGTTTGTACTCAAGAGCTCATCTGCTGGATTTTGGCCAATTTAGCTATGGAAGAGTGACAGTGGACCCTATTCTGGCTGACAGTACTGTAATCTAGTTAAACAGTACTGCAACCTAAATTCCTCAGCCTTAAGAATATCACCCTTTGGAGCAGGAAAAAATGTCTTGTCTAATCCTATATTACAAGCCAGATGTAATTCAGCTTAGCATACTAAAGTGCTCTAAGAGTCCAAACTAGCCAAGCTGTGAACATTTAAGCAAGTTACAGACTTCACATTAGCACTGTCCTAAGTTATCCAACTAAAGAGGGCTTTGGATACATCTCCAACCACTTGGCAAAACCCCTACATGCAGTACATGCTAGAAGAACTCACAATTGTAAATGCATTGTGAGATCTTAATGAGAATACCAGGTTGAGTTGGTTTACTTTTTTTGTAAGCATCAAAGCTACTTGAACTTCACTGATGCTGTTTTGTCTAAAAAAAAAATCATCAGAACAAAAATTTTTATTTTGCTTCTTTTACAACACCTGTAAACAGCATGAACTGAAATACAGGCTAATCCCTCACTAAACTAAGAGACCAGTCCCATCACCAGTCCCACCTTCTCTACCTCACTAATCAGCTCTACACCTGTGTTATGAGTCAGACATGCCCGTCCAGGATAGACTGAGTTACTGGAGATGAGGTGATGCTCAAACACTGGAGCTGAAAGAGGTCACTGCTTTGCACAGAAACAAGCTATAGGTGAGAGGCTGCTTGCAGGAAATTCTTCTCGCAGCTTATGAAAAAACAGAGCAGAGCTGCTGGAGGTCACTTGGAAGCAGTTGCATACCAACAATAGTGAATGTGACACAAGAGATAATTAAAAAGGTTGTGGGGTTTTTTTAACCTGTTCTTCAGTGGACATAAGATCTGTGCCTCTCTACAGGCATTAAAAGTATTTGGTGATCTGTGAACGCCAGCTGAACAGGGAGAGTCATAAACACTTGAAGCTAGTCTGTTGAGCTGACCTGTAAAAGGACAGATGCTAATCTTTATGATGGATTCTATCTTGTCTACTGATTTGTAAACGGAAGATATTTTTCAGTCTGTAAAGGAAGCAAAACTTATTGCCAGTAATGAGTCAAAACAAACTGAAGGTAACAAAAACTGCATTATTCCTATATTCTTTTTTCTGATTATAATCATACATCTAAGTCATTTACAAGGGCCATTCAACTGAGACATCAAAATTGAAAGAAGAAAAGCCCATGGACCAGAATCTGATTTCTAGATGGAGAGCTTCTGAAAATGACACTGGCCATGCAAGAGGCCAGCTCGGGCTCCCACACAAGCCAGGCAGAATGAGGTCAGAGATGGAGAGAGAGACTGAGGCATGAGAAGCAGACTGATGATCAAAGGGTGGGGTGACTGAGAGAAGCTGGGTAGAGAGTGGAGAGAGAAGGGGAAGGGCAGCAGGCAGCAAAGGGAACATTAGGAAGACTGGCAATTTCTGTCTCAGGAAAGAGCTGTGTAAGAATTCCCAAGATTTATAATGTGGCAGTGACAACTTGGTATCTAACAGCACCACTGTCCCAGCAAACAAATGCAATTAAGACAGTATCAAGAAATGAAGTCTCATCTTGCTCACAGAAAGATGACAAAGCTTTCTACTAAAACAGTGGTCCAGAACTCGGAGAACAGCTGTCCAGTTACCAGTCCTTCCACAAACAAATGCACAAAGAGCTCAGAACTTTTGTGTTTTACTTCCAGCAGTTTCAAAACCTTTGTTCCTCTTGTGCATTCACATAACTGAGCTATCTGAAAACGTTAATTAGTAAGTGCTACTGTATCCCAAATTTTTACCCACTCTTAACTAGTCGAAGTGAAAAAGACTCAGTCTAAAAGGCTAGTTTTGGGCTAATAAAAGCATTTTTAAACTTCTTTTGCTGAATACACAAGCTCAGGGGGGAAAAAGTTAAGACTGGCTTGGCAACAGAACCTACTCCCGAGCATAAATACTGGTTCCTACCCAGTCTGCCTTCAGTGGTGGTGAAGCAGGAGAGAGCAGTGCACATACCAAGAGTCAACAATTGGTCACTGATGAGCAGTACTGGAGTGGTGTTCAGAGTAAAACCTGCTACCCACAAAGCCTAAAAGGCAGTTCTGTGTTTGGATGCATAGTGCTGTCACAGAGCTGTTCTGCAGCACCATGAGTGAGATCATGGAATTTTGCAGTTTATTTGAAAATTTGGTAGTTTGTTACTACACCTGCTGTCTGAGGTTTAAAAGACGCAGACTCTTTAAAGACTATAAACCCTCTAACTAGATCAACACAGTGTGAAACTTTTTATCGTTTCACTACAGAATCTGTTCTGTAGTTTAGTAAAATTCTGACTCATCTTCATCAAACCATGAAAGAAAAGTTATTCCAAACCATCTTTAGAGAGATGTCTACCTGACGTTTGTTGGGTTGGATAATTTTTGCTGTATTTAAGTTATGCAGAGATTATGTTAGAAGAAAATGATATGAAAGGCTGCCAGAAAAGGAACAGGAGCCTCTATAACTCCACCTATCCTAGATTAGATGTAGCAGTTTCCCACAACAGCCTCAGCTATAACTGCTTCTGTCAGTATTCCCGCAGTGCCAACAGACCGGCTTAAACACCAGAAGCGGTAGTTGACACCACCCTGTCAACTGTTGTGAGGTGGCTCAGTGCCATGCAGTCAAGGTGTGATCACACTTTAGACTTCTAAGGCCAAAGCCCACTCAGAGCTTCCTGCCATCCCCTGCAGCTGCCCACTCATTCCTGCTTCCTTGGTTGCTCCAGAGCAATTATTTCTGGGGCTATGTTATACTTGTTCAGATAAATTACTCTGGCTTAACACCACAAGTATCAACAGCAAGTCCGGAAGGTTTTGTTCTGTTTAACCCATTCATGAATGGCCAACAGCTTGGGGGACGGGAGAAGGAAGCTCCTGAATCTACTCTGTCATCAGCTATATGTTGTGACACACACTTCTATGAATAATGGTGACAAGCAGAATTCTGAACATTTCATGATTAGGTCTACATGTTATCCTGTGCTCAGCCTAGCAAGTTCACCAACTACTGCATTTACAGTCACGTACAGGACTTTGTTGGGGTACAAACTAACAGAACCGAGCATGGCTGTGGAGTCTCCCTCTCCCCTGGTGCCTTCGCTCAAGCCATGCAGCCCATTCCCTCATGTTAAGGCAGGATCTACTAAATGCCTAAGACATCCCAGGTAAACTTGTTCTTAAAACAAATCTCAAGCAAGATTCCTCTGATGTAATTTAAACACCTTTCTGCCTGCCCTCTCTACCACAAAACAGTTTATTACCTTTCTTCTGAAGCAGCACATTTCAAAATAGTATAGTATCCTCAGTCTTCTCCATGCAAATCTGAGAAATCTTTTCCTGAAGGAACTGTTTTCTACATACTTGGTGGTTCTTGTTCTCCTCTGGACTCTCTCAGACTATCAACAATTTCTCAAGTGCAGATTTCCTTATGAGAAACAATGCTCAGATGAATTCTTGCAACGTATCTTTGAGTCTTTCATAACAGGAATTCTACCACCACTCTATTTTGATTCTAAACACTTTAGAGATGTCACTGTACTTGGTGTGCTAATAATACAAATGGAGTTCTAGGTATCTACATGATAAATCCCGCACCAAAACATTTCTTAGTACAGTCACAAAAGTCATCTCTTTGGGCAGTTTCATAACAGCTCTGGACACAGCCAATATTCTATTTAGACTGCCACCGCATGGGAAGAGGCAAACCCAGCAGTCTGGATGAACAGCTTGATTTTCTAAAAGGTCTGGACTTCTAAATGTAAAAGAAAGAGTCATCCTGACATCAAAGGTATGAAGTAGCAGAGACAGCCTGTAAGACCATGACATTCAGGAAAGAATACTGATATGTAGCTTTACTAAAGTATCATTTTAGCACTGCACTGGAAGGCACTGGAGTGTATCTAAAGGAACATTACCTTGAAAGAAGTTAGCAAAAGCAGAGGCTAAACGCAAGAGCCTGAATTTCTCCCCTTTCTGACTGGAGGGAAGTAGGAAAACTCTCTTCACAGGCAAGAAAAAATAAGAGCCAGATTCAAACAGAGGACTCACCAAAATCTGTAACACGAGAACGTATGCTCTGACAAGTATCTTAAGTCTACAAACGTGGGATGCAAGAAGCATAGAAACACAGCTGACTAGAACATGATGGGCAATGACAACAGTAAGAAAGGAGGCAGAGTTTACCAAACTAGGAAAAATTCTCATCTTCCCCAGCTCCAGAAGACACTCTGAATCAGCTGAAACTAAAACTCTGAAGGAGAGGGAAGAAGTAGACCAGAAAAATGATCCAGACTGCACTGCAAGGTGGAACAGGAGCACTTTAACAGATGGTGATCAGAATCTACATGGTCAGGTCATTGGCCACCAGATCAGGAAGGTTTCCAGCCTCTAAGGCAAAAGGTCCAGCAGGAAAGAAAGAGGTACTGCAGCCTTCAGACAGGGGTAGGGTGTCCTAGGTCTTCCCAGAGTTAGCAGAATCAGTTAACGTTCCGCTCCCCCTTTTACTGAGGTCAAATGGATTAAAGAAAGAGAATCCCAGAGAACATCGGTTTACAATAAATCTGACCGTGAAAGCAAAATTATGTCATGGAAAAATCCTGGTCTAAGCTGACCACAAGCAAAACCTACATCATTCCCCAATGACCCAGGCAGTGAGCTGGCCTAGCACAGGCTTCTCTGTAGCCTGGAAATATCAAACTGGATCTTTCATTTGTGGTTCAGAATGACACCACTCCTTAGGTCAAGCTGCCAGGAGCCAGGCACACAGACCCTGGAAAAGTTAACCTTTAGTGCTAACCTCCACACTCGAAGTTTCATTGCTGTTGTACAAAGTAGAGGGATTTGGTTCCTTCCTGCTTGTATAGTATATTGCTGTCAACCTGTCCACCGTATCTTAAACATAAGTACTTCCATTTCCCTCATTGTCTCCTTAACATCACCAGCTCAAAGGGTGGCAACTCTTGGCCTTCCCCAATGATTTTAGACTTTTTGTGTCTATCCCATACCAGTTTCATCTTTATCATAGTCCCCTTGTTTATTTTTATGCCTGTCATGCAAGATGACTATGTATGTTGAATATGATGCTGCGTATCACAGGGTACATCTTCCTGTCAATGTAAAAATCAAGATGATGAGAAAAAACATGTGTTCTTTGCAGATTCATGTCACCCCTCTTTGTTTTTCCCCAGATACTGTTTGCTTTTGAATATTTATTGCCGTACTTTTCCAAATACTGTTATGAACGATTAGCTTATCAACTAATTTTTTTCCCAGGGAACAGTAAGAAATAAATAAACTGCAAATCTCAAGGGTTTCCCTTCCTTGATTCTACTGATTTCATTAACTGATTATAATTTCAGTGGTTCTGCTAATTTATTCATCCTTTAGTGAATGAGTTGCCCCATCTTTCAATGTATTGAGGAGACAGGAAATTAAAAGGAGAGAAGGGGGAAAAAAAGGAGGCAAGGAAATAAGGGGCCTATGCTTAAGTGCAGCTATTTCAGTACAAACTTCCTTTCAGCCTTTGGATAACTGAACTTAAGTCTATGGACTTCAGTTTCCTGAAAGATCTGGCACTTAACAAAAATTACTGTACTCCCTTGTGCATCCCTCTGACCTTTACAAGTATGTAATGCTAGTTGAAACCTGATTTTTTTGGCTAGTACTTTCACAAATGAAAAAAGGAAAAATCTTAATGTTTAAAGTGTTAAATATTTTTAGATGTAGCCAAGCTGGCATTCACCAACCTGTATGCACATTTCAGAGGTGCAAGAATAAATGCCAATGCTATAATTTGTTAAATGCTTCTGACGAGCAGCAACTTCAGTCACCACAAATTCTCCCAATTTAAATGACTTTTACATAAATTTAAACTTTTCCTAAAACACCCCAGTAAGATTTTTCCACATAGGCTGAGCAAGGCTTTTAGAAAACTCATGGCAAAGATCATTTCACTACTGAGGAGTTTAGAGATGTAAAATATGTTAGCTTCCCTATGGGACTTTTTTGTTCTTTAGTGGAAAACTGCTAAAATTCAGTAATTAGTATATTGAACATAACCACTGTTATCAGTAACCATGCTGCCTACTTTTTCTCACATTAAGGTACATATCACTATTTCCTGAAAACAGTTATATTACTATTTTACTTTGCACTTACCAGACATGAAGCTGGGCTACTAGAAACCATGAATTCAAAGTATCAGGCATTTGGCACCCTTGATAGGAGAGGGAAAAAAAAAACACAAACACCAACTAAATATTAATTTAATCACATTTTGCACCTAACAGAAATTCACTGAAAGATCTGGATACATTTTAAGAATTTAATTTCTAGCCCTAAACAGTAGATACATATCAGAAACAAACACCATCTACTGTCACACTTGTGCTTAAACTCTAGAACATGCAGCCACATGATGTTCTAAATTCTGAAAGACTTCATGATTCAGAATTCACTTTTTACATTTACAGGGGGGGAAAAATTTTGAAATGGAGAATTAAGACAAACATGTGGCTTCTAGCCTGGGAAGTCCCAAGGCAGCAGAGTGTAACGGGGAAGTATCAACAGATTCTCTACTCCATTCTTACACTCTTCCTTTAACGTGTGCTGTTGCCTCCTGCCAGGGACAGAACAGTGTGACAGCTGAGCGTGCCTTGCCTGTATCCATTCTACATTAGGATCAAAACCACCAACCAATCACAGAAACAACTTATGTCTCCAGGTTTAGCTCTACTCAGCCACTGGGTTTCCCAGAGGTGGCTTGTCCATATGCATGTTCACACTATGGATCTGCATGTGCCATCAGGATGTGAATTAGGCTATGTGACAGAGAAACCATACTCTTCTTTCTCATGCTTGGAATGTGCACATTAAGCCCTTCATTTCCTGTCATTCTCAAACCTTCATCCTAGAAAGTCAACACTACATCTGTTTCATGGAGAAGTTTTCAAGAGGGGTACTTCTAATGAGAAGGATCTGACAGTCACCTTGGCCTACCCAGCATTTGGGTCTTATCTTCTGGAGTGTTCAAACCTTGCTTTAAGAAGGCCAGAGAGCATTCAGAAATGGACTCTCCAGTCAGATATGCCCCAAGGAAGTCAACCTTACTTTTTCTGTGTGGAATATATTCCTTCCTGACTCCTACACTTCTTGGCTCTCAAGTACTATCAAGGAGATTCACCTGGACCATGAAGCAATATTTTTCAGATTCTTTTTATATGCCAACTACGGTCAGGCAACCACCAGAAGAACCAAGCAAATCATCACTATTCCTCCCTCCTTAGAGAGATGACTTCATCAGAGCCTAGGAGGTGCCAAGCTTCAGCATCAGTGCCCATCTATCACCTATGGCACCTCTAAGACAGTATAAAGACACTAACAGTCTATGTTTGGAGATTAAACACAAGTTTCCCTCACCCTTCTCCCCTTTCGGCTCCCTCATTCCTATTAGAAATAGTTCATGTGCCTAGAAATAACTACTTAGACCTGAAGGCATGCCAAGGCATCTCTAATTAGGACAAGAGTACACAATGCTTGCATTAATCAAACCTTTTAATTAACTGAAGGTTCCACAGACAAGATTCAACAGACAGAGGTTTCTGAAGCAGAAGTTACCATGTATCAGTCTCCCACCACAGAAATCACTCTTCAGTGGAAAGTAAAGCTCACACCTCTACTACCGGAAAGTTTTTAAAGGCCTATTCAGTACCCAGGAGGGAAGAATTTTTTCTCTAATTTTCCAAGTGTTTCACTTCTATTTTTATAATTCATTTTTTAACTTCTATATTAGGACTGTCTACATTGTAAATTTAAAGGAGGGATGGCTCCTTTAAAGCAACAAGCTGGCCCCAGATATCAGCTTTTTTAAAAGAATACAATTCTAAACTTTGGGATTTTAGAACACCTTATTCTGGGAAACTAATTGGGGAGAAGGATCCATCCTATAATTAAATGGAAAATTATTCCCTTCAGACATTTTATCTGTATCTGAGTGTATTCTGATGGTAAAGCTACCTATGAAATTACTATGATTATAATTAGCTGGGGAATAAATCTATTCTGCCAACAGAATACATCCTGCTTACACGTCTGCGTATGATAACAGACATTAAATGTCTCAGCATTACGAGGACATACCTCCTCCTCCAGTCATATCCTGTACCTATAATTCATCACATAAGGGCTGAAAACCTTGAACATGGACTTTCTTTCATTACAGATGACCTTTGCCACTACCACAATTTTAGGAAGGACACAATAGGATAATATCCCCACATCCTGAAAAAAAAAAACAGGCATACTATGTCAGTCTATCCCTGAGCATGACAGATAGCTGCCAACAAGCCACCTGATGGGCTAAGGGAGACAGAAGAATCCAGAATCCTGCAGGTAAATGCCAGCCCTTTCAAGCTGGTTGGCAGCCCAATGAGGAGCCATCTGAAAGGCTGTTTTGACAGGGCCAGCTCTTTACTACTGCAGTTGCATGACACTGGCACAATTAAAAGTACTAACAGTTCAAGATGAATTCAAGGTAACCCTACACCCCATGTTCATCAGACAAATTTCAGCTCAGCTCTCAGTAACACCCACCTGACCCTAAAAGCTCTTCTGACCTTTCAAGTATAAGGTTAGGCATGAAACATGTTCCTCACAGGTGGCTACCTCCTTCATTTTGTTAGAACTACCCAAGCTCTGTGCACAGAAAGCCTAGCACCAGTAATCTTTGCTATTCCCTCTACTACTACTCTGTTCTCCCTTAAACAAGAAACAACTGGAGTCCTAAAACATCTCCACCTTCCATATAAGCAGCACAGCACAGACATCTGGGATGTAGGCTCTAAAGCAGAGTTCCCAAAAGTTTTGTCAACGGATGATCAGAAAACAAAGAGACAACAGAATGGCAGGTATAATAAAATGAACTGCAGTATAATACTAGAGAGTGTCAACTAAAACACCTCCTTTATATCCTACAGTGGCCTCATGACTTGCATTTCTATGCTCTATATTTTGGGAACTGCTATTCTAAGGCATTAATACAGAGAAAGGTAGTAGTTCACAGGGCTCATACTGCATAACAGAAAGTCTCAGAAATTTTGCTAGATATCAGCAAAAATGCACTGCAGTAGAAAAATAGCCCTAGGGCATGAAACACTATCATTGTCCTAGTCCTCAACACCTTACTATCCAGTCTTTACTATGCTAGTTTCCAAAGTGCAAGCTTCAACAGATTCTGTAGGATTTTTAACAAAGGGCACCTTTAAGAATATTTTCCCATATTTTTAGGATGTCAAATTAATGTTCTCTGTCAGAGAACTACCTGACAAAACCCACATCCCAATCCAAGTTCCATCAGGTCACACTGCAGTTGTTATTCATGCCACAACATAACCACATCACAAAAGCATGTCCAGAAACACTGAGGAAGGCTCATTAAGAACTAGTTCTGATCACACAGGGTTAACAAGCCCACAAGTGTTTTTACACATGCATGGATGTACAGTTCCCAAGGCCAGCTCAGTAGGATAACAACTCTCACAAATGGCAGAGAAAAAGCTAATAAGCTCTCCAGAGACCAGAGCTGACTCTATGCAGTTCACTTGGATATCGCAACACCATGCAACTAGAGCCAGAAGTGCTGGGGGCAGCAAAGCATAAATACACCGCTAGGTCTACAGACAATCAGTATGGACACATACAATGCATACAGTCAGCTCTGGCTCAGGCAGACCTGGCCAGGTCCTGTGCAGCACCATTACTACTCTTAGCAGTGCAGTTCATCATGTGGTGGCAGCACTCACATCAGCATAGTCTCAGGCACACCTCTGCTTGCTGCATCAGCAAGGGAAAGAGTTGAAGAGTTAGCTGATTCCTGTTCCTACTAGACCCGAAGGCTGCTCTTCTGGGAGCGTGCTGCAGTCCTGAATTAAGCAATGCTCATCTTTATTTGAAAAAGGAATAATTCAGAACAGAAGAAAACAGCTGACTGATGTAGTTTGATGAAGACATGGTGGACTGAACTGAAAGTTGGATACCTTGCTTCATGCCATGTTCCCCTCTCTCCGTACTCCTTATCACCTACTTTATGCCACAGCTGTTGTCCATCAGACCATTCATGTGCCACTTTAATTCACTAACACAGCAAAACAGTAAGTCAATAAAAAACCCAACCACTTTCTTTCAGTGACCTAAACAGTTCAACAGAGGACATGATAATTGTTGTGTCCACAACACAGGCAGAGGAAGATGGAGAAGTGAGCCTTTTCCCTTTGGCCATTACTTCAACTCAGCTGCCCATGGAACCACAGCCTAAATCTTCACCATTGGCAAAATCAATTTAAAAGGTTCCTGCCCATCCCACACACAGTCTGTGTCCCCCAGTCTTCACCTAAAAGTAGTTTTAGGGGAACTACTTTTTAAGCATGGATCACATGTCTGTCAAATTTTAGAGCTAATCCCACAAACAACTGAAACTGTAAGTAGACAGAAGTAACAAACTTCTTATATCTGTTTTTATATGAAAACAATTACTTCTTTGGAACCACAACCATCGACCCCCAACCTCACAGGTGTTCTTATAACAGCAACAGGTGCATCACACACTCTGTCAATCTCAGCAAAACAAAGTATCTTGTTCCTTACCTAACAACAGCCTCAAGGCAATGCAAACATAAGTTTCCCTGGGTGTAAATTCAGAGTTGGTCTGGCTACAACTTGTACTACAGAGTAGAAAGACAAAAGGAGCAATGAGCACACTCTGGAGCAAATGGTGAAACTTCAAGGAGAGGCTGCCTGCTGTCTGCAATATGTTTGAAGTGAGGGGGAGCTCTGGGAATTTTTTCTTTAAAACAGTAAGACAATATCAAGAATACAACTGAAGCAATTTTACTCAGTACTGAACCTGAAAATCTGTGCCAGTATCTTCCTCACAGACATGTTTTGAAATTCCTTTACAATTTAATCTAGGGCAACATTTATATATCAACATTTATACACAACCTGTTAAGCAGATACAGTGAAACACCAGTTAAAAATAGAAGAACCTCTATTTGAGAGGCCTCTATTCTGACAAACAGAAGAGAATTTATATGAGAAAGCCTGAGAGGACACACAGCTGGGGAGAGGTGTGTGCACAGGAAAAATGAGGTTCTAATTTTTTGATCCCTAATGATGAATCCTACTGCTCACAGAGTTCTCTCACTCCTGAAACTGCTGAAACCACATCACAGTTTTGGAAAACCTCCTGAAAACCACTGGAAAATCTTGCAGCAGCAGCAACATGATGTACCAAACCACCTTCAATAAGCTCTGCACTAGATGAACACATGAAGATGTCCCTTCAGCTCATCTCTCCAGAGGCAGCAGCAGCAGCCCCAGCCTGTGCTGGTGCACTGTAAAGCCCTAAGAAAGCATTTGGTAGCTCAGGAATTCAGGTGACAGGCCAGATCCAGGCAATGAGTTTACTACCAGCTAAATCACACTGACATAAGAAATAATCCACATAAGAATAAAATATTACTGAAGCTTATATAAGTCTCAAGAACACATCTTCCCCATTCACTAGCCAGATTAGATACTAAAAAAGCAGCAACATATTTTTTAGCCAATAGCTAAAAAACTGTGTGCAACATGGAAAAGCCATCCCAATTCAAGCCAATATTATTCCTATATACTTAAAGGAGGACTTGTGTGTCTGTTCTAGTCGTACTTTCTACTCAGTCAAGAGATGTGTCCTGGTTTAATGCAGTCATGGTCAGTAAAATGTAGAAAGTCTCTAAATTCTAACCAAAACTTCCCCAGACATGAGGAAGAGAGACAAGTAGGACTCTGTGATCAAGCTGACCCTGTATTGAAAAAAAAGTTGTGCATCAGTGGATGGGCACAGTTCTCATATCCGCATCCCAGTTATACTGGACTTTCTCACAACTGGTCATGGGACAGAGTAGGATAGACATCATCTGACCACAGTAAAAAGGGAAGAGATATCTGGATCCTTACATTACACCACCCTGGTAATAAAAAAGGCAATACCCTTCGAAGTCCAGGATGTTTTGGGTTTTACCTATCCTACCCCTTGCTCTTGTTCTCCATTGCAGTGGGCGAAACATAACAATCCCAGACTCCAGAGTCTGCACTTGAACCCTTGCCACTTCAGAGCATAAGGGAACACTGTAGTACAGTCAGCTTCTAGTTAACCACATGCTTTTAGGGTCTGAAAAGTCTTTTTGCTGTCATATTTCTTGGTATAAATATATCTAATGAACTTTCATCAGAAGTTCTCTTACCAAGGCAGTAGTCCAAATACCATCAAGTACTTACTGTTAAAAAATTCCTCATAGTCAGTTTTCTCCACGCAGCATGTGTACATGCGCAAAGCTGCTACCTTAATTTTCTAAAGAAAAAGAAAAGACAATACTTAAAATATTCATCAGGAGAGCTAGTGAACACTACTGGTTTTGTAAAATACATACACTATGTTTTTCTGAAAAGACTACTTCTGAGAATCACAGTCACTTGGAATTTTCAAGAGCACATTAAACTATTGTATATCCCAGGAATGACATGAGTATAATCAATCTTGCCCTAAGGGTAAAAAAATTACTAAATTTTCTTGAACACCCTTCCAAATCCAGTTTAATATAATACCATCACTACAGAATAACAAATGAAATGGCTTTCCTTCCAGAGACTCCAAAGATGCCAATTACCAATTCCTGATTTCCTCCAATAACTTTAATTGATGTATACCACTCACAGTGTTTAGTATAATCTAAGTTTTAAATATTAAAGAATTGACATACCAGACATGTCCTAAAAATATCTTTTTACCTACAAAAATGAAAATTGACCAACTAAGTTTCACAAGTGAGAAAGAAACCCCAAATGATGAATGACATGAGGCATATTTAGGTGCTTTGGCACCTCTAATTTTGTTCTTGGCTTGCCAACTGTACTAGAAACACCTCCAGTGCATCACTGTAACAAAAATACATGTGCTGAAGCTTCAAAAAGCATGATAACTGACAGCAAAGACCTTACTGAGAAGAGCTGCCAGCCATTCCTGATTACTAACATCAAGGGGAGACAACACATTTTATAACTCCAGAACCCACCTAAACCAGGAAGGAGGATTGGGTTTGGATTGTGGGTTTTTTCTTTTTCTTTTTAGTGCCATATACAAAGGATCATCTCAGTGCTCCTTATACTACAAAGATAAGCACTATGCCTGTCAAATGGCACTTCAAATTTTCAAAGTAATTATTTGTGTCTCCTCCAACCAAAAGAAAAATAATGAAGTTGTAACTGATCTGCTGAGGAAACACAGGCGCCATTATTTTCCTTATTCAATAACCTCAGGCTTCTGTCAAAAATCAAGTATACATCTAAACTTCTTGCAGTAAAATAATTTATACTACTTACTGGAGTTCTGAAGGTTTCTTTTTTAAAGGAAACGCTGCCTGGCCTGGGAGTAGAGATCTCCCTGGTGAAAGCCACTGCCCCATACCAGGCATTACTAGACATTAAAAACATATTGTAAAGAACAGTCCCTGCAATCCAGCCCTTAAATAAGGCAGGTAACACAGGAGAAATCGGTGAAATTTAACCATGGAAATTTTAGGGTGTAGAAGAGGTGTGGGGGAAGGGAGAGGAATATGGAAAAAAAGAAGAAATATTAAGAAACTTCCCTAAGATCTCACAGAGAGCACTGGCAAGGCCAAAAATGAACTCAGGTCTCTTGGGCCCTAACCACAAAATAGCTCTCTCCAACCCAGGTTCCCTAGCCAAAAGCAGGCAGTAAAGAGCACCAATTAAGGAGAACTCTGAATCAACACTTAGAGCTAACAAGAATCTTTTATTACAACAATATGTACACAAGCACATGGAAGAGAAACTACTCCTGCATGAGGTTTACCATCACCTGATTAAAAGCAACTGATTCTAACCAAAATACCTAACCCCCTTAAGTGTCGAGTTCTTTTCTTTGTATTTTATTTCTGAGGAGTGAGATGCAATCAGTAGCAGTTTCAAATCAGTCTTGGTAGAGGTCCACTCTGCCTTGCAGATATTCAAAGAACCTTCTAGGTTTTTAAATCCTGCACACTTGGGCTCAGCCCTTCCTTTAAGATGCCTTTTCTTCTCACTCCTTTATACTGTGTCCTAGTTCAGAGAAAAAAAAATTATGAATTTCATCCCTTTTTCCTTCTGCATAAGGAACTGAAAGTGTCTCTTACAGAAACGCTCGCATTTAGTCAATCAACCACTTCATGAAAGGAATTTTTTAAAAAAAACAAAAGAGAAGTATCTATTTGTGACTCTGTCCCAGTTACCTACTAACAAAGAGCAACTCCAACCCAAATTGTAACATACCTCACTACCTCTGTTTGGGAGACCCCCCTGTCACAGAAATACAGAACACTAAAAGAGGTTCAGAGAAGGGCAACAAAAATCAAAACATGAAAGAGCCTCAATAACAGAAACAAGTCAGACTAAGTCTCCTCAATCCAGAAAAAGACTAAGATATTATAGAATATGAGTCTCTAAAATCATCAGTGGAAGGGAAAGTGTTGAACATACACTTAAAGGAAAGAATAATCACCATTATTTTAAGCACAAAATTAAAAGGCACCAACTGAAAACAACTGTACTTCTTCCCCCAGTGGGTATTCAAGCTATGGAACTCCCTGATACTGAATACTATGGATGCTATGAACTTACAAGAGTTCAAAGTGCAACTGGACAAATCTATAACAGAAAAATCCAACGACAGATATTACAGAAAAATGCAGGAAGTCCTGAAACAGACAACTGATGTAAGCTGGAGGAGCACATGAGACAAATACCTTATGCTTTTCCTGTAATTAAATTCTTTCTAGATAACTGCAATTATTAGAGACAAGGCGATGGTCTATGCAGGTGTTTGACTTAGATAGTAAGGCTGTTACTGTGGTCTTTGATGCACAAATGAAGTGTAAAATAAAATATCTGAAGAAATGAAGAAAGGCTTAAGACTCTACAGACTTATGGCAATGATGGCAATACATAGATCAAGGAAAGTTCAAGCTATGGGTTATTAATCCTCATATAACAAAACAGGAATTTACATTTAAGAATTAGAACTTTTCCATTAAGTACTGCTCCTATCATAAGAAAAAAAGTTGGGGTTTTTTGTTTGCTTTTTATAACTCAGAAAGTATCAAACAACTGAAAGAATTATTAAATAAATGCTTTACCCATCTGCTATACTTCAGTGGTCCTGTGAAACCCATTGCTTCTATTATCCTTGTGAAAGCACCCACTTTCTCTTCAGATGACTGCACGGAATCTTTTCCAGAAAGATGCTGCAAAATTTAAATATCACATATTTAAGTCTTAGCAATTAAATCAGACAAATCATCTCAGAAAAGCTACAAGTTTAACAGAAAATTTTACGTTTACTGTTTACTTTCTTTGCTCAACAAATCAAATACATATTTAGGTCTTCTCTGCAAAATATTACACTGTTTTTCCTATGTGATATTCTTCTGTTTATGAATGCAAACACTGCATAACCATTTAGATAAAAGCATCCCACTGGAAGCTCTGACTCAAATATTATAGTTTGTACAGAAACCTGCTTTCCAAAATATGGTTCCCATTCTAGATTCCCATATTCTTTCTAGATACGTGTCTTTAGTTGGTCTTAAATCTTTTGCAGATAAAACAAGCAAACAAATCACAGTAAAAGAGTAAATAAAGCTTTTTCACATTCTCACTCTCAGAGGCATATCATATTCTAATTGTATATTATATAAACCAATCAACTCCATCTTCAAACTAATGAAGCTACATGAACTCACCATTCTTACTAAAAAGCTCACCCAGACTGTTACTTCCCTTACAGTTAATCTAAATGGTACTTGCACAAAATCTAGATCAGGGAAGTATTTAGTCCCCAATGATTTGCAGTGCCTGTGAACATGAAGATAAACGTTCCCTTCCGGATTAACTACACACCTTAAATCTTTATGGTATTCTGCCTCTAAGCATTCTGGCAGCGGCAATCAGCCATCAGCAATTACCATTTATACTCCAGCAAATAGGAAATATGTGTTTCGCAGTTTTTTCTCTGTTTTGCTTTTCCCACACTTCCAACAATTTCTAACGAATTAAGTATGCAATATAAACATTTTATTATCAACAAATTACTTTTAACCCATCTAACCAAAATCTAATACACATGAATCTCCTACACATACTTGAGGAATACAGCTGAGAGCCATTATAACTGGAGAAAGTTCCCTGACGAAAGAAATATTAAATTGCTTTAAGTTGCTGGAATTTTACCTTAAAGACTTCCTCCTAAGACATGAACACACTAAGAAAAGAATTTTCTTAGTAGGGAATCAATTTAGCAACATAAGAACTGCCATATACGGCCAGAACAAACACTTCAACCAGCACACCATCTCCAGTAAGGACCAGTAGCAGATACTTGGATGAGACACAAAAGCAAAGAAATACGGTACACCCCCCATAGTTTCCTGGGGGGTACCTGCCCAGCTTTTGACAGTGATTCCTGCACTAGAAAATGCATCCACACATTCATTTTTGGCAGCTACAATTGCATACACCTTTAGCACCCCAGCATTTAAACCTCTATAACCCACAGTTGTGGTACATGGGTTTCACAGTTTAATTATGTGAAAAAAAAATTCCCTTATTTTAACTGTTTTAACTCCAACCTTGTCATTTCACCGGATGCTCCCAAATCTCCTATAAGAAGCCACAAATAACCATTTCCTATTTCCTTTTTTGGCATCTTGTATGACTTTTAGAGGGCAATATCATACATATACACATTAGTTATCTCTCTTTAGTTTAGAAGCATCTTAAAATAGCCTCTTCTCATACTGAGAGTTTTTCACATTTCTGATCATTCCGGCTATATTCTCTACAGCTTTCCTAGCACTAGTATAGTAAATTTTGAAATGGCATGAATGATAAATATATATTAAAATACAGATACATATTCTGCATAAGTTGCTATACTTAATTAAAAACTAACTGTAAAGGTGACAAAAATTGTAGCTCTGAGACATAATCAATCCCTATATATATACACACACACAAGCTTTAGCATTTGAGATAAAATCCTTTGCACTTGTGTACTACCCATAGATGGCTACTGATGTCTTGAAAAACTCATGTCTATTGTTCAGGTAAACATGCTCAGTACCATTCTAATATCTAACTGTCACCCAGTAAGACAGCGTAACACTGTCCAGGACCTCCTTTAATACTCAGATCCTTGTTTTATATGTTGGCCATTAAACCTGTTCACCAAGTCCCCTATTATCATCCAGGACAAAAGTGTCTGCAAAGGCATCTTCCCACCCTCTGTCACATGTGATGGACCCAGTAAGTCTAGAAATGTGTACGTGAATATTTAAATCAATTTTAAGTACTTTCTCTTCAGGATTATCCCATGCACCGCTCTGCTCCTCAACACAAAAAATGACACCTAACCTCACCTCATAAGATAGCTCCATAAGCCTCCGCCTGCCAGGAAATGACAGGGCATGCTCAATGCAGAACTTGCATCCCAGTAACCACTGCTGTACCAAATTCATAAAAATCAACTTTCATCTCCTCCACAGGAATCAAAATCATAGTAAACCCCTAGAGAATCTAGGCAAATCAATTTTACTACATGCCTCTTATCCACAAATGCATTATGAAGTCTACCTCAGTACAGATTTTTCACTATGCAGAGGAAGTTAAGTTAAAAACCAAAATTATCTTGATTCAGCTGTTGTTAGCTCTTCATCAAAAAAAATAACTGACTGGAAAATAGTCTTTTTCTAAGAAATGCCATGATTGCTGCTTCATTCTTATGCAAGTCTGCCTGGACTAGCTCAAGAGATGCAGTGAGTGTTTGGTTCAGCCTATGCAGTTCATCTGGCCAATGCTAGGAGCACAGCCAAAGGCAATTAAACAGTCCTATAAGCATATATAAAATCAGATCTAAAGGATCTGATACATACGGAGGAAACTTCAAAAATACATTTTTTTAACTCACTCAAAACAAGCTCATCAATACATTGAAAGGCACATAAGCCCACTTCAGGATGACTTTCTGTCTCAATACCTGAAATCCAGTGCTCAAAGCAAACAATCCTCTTAATTTTGACATCAAATATAAAAATTAAACAATTGGAGTTCACTATTAACTCTAAACCACTTCCCCATCAGGACTGCATAGTCAAGTTCACATTTCAATGATTAATAAGTACTCCTCTATTCAAAATAATGAGGTTGCAGTCCAAAAACTTACCTCAAACCTTACCTACTGTTGTAAACTGTTCCTCTCTGGTCATAAATCCTGACTGGCTTCTTATACTACGGCTATTTTAACTAGGAAGTTTCCCAATCCATCTTTCAACCTTTGAAGCCCTTTCCAATACATCAAAATCAAGTCTCTGACCCCTGCCTTGACCATCTTCATGGCACTGCTGGCTTGTTAAATCTACCATTTTGTCATCTGTCGCTCTCCCAGATCTGCTCTGCAAATGATGCTTGTTCAGGTATAAGAGGGGTGGCTCAGGCAGGCACAGGGACTAGGGGCATGCACCATGTTTGAGAGGCTAGATTAGCTCTCTGGATTCTACTCTCAGCTCTGGCCAAGGTAAATTGTGCAAAACATTTCATGTGCTTCAATCTCTTTGTCTGCAGAATGTTTGGTTTCCCTCACCAGCTGAGAAACACTGGAAAACTGACTAAAAAATCAAAAACCTCTAGTTAAGAACTAGATGCAAACAGCAGCCAGGGGTTCTCTCCTTCCACACATCTCCTTGTTCTCCTTCATTTTGTCTATCCATGTCAAAGAAACCAATTTAAAATACTTCTTAGTATTTACCTCTAACTCTACACCAGCAAAATACACAGTTAGGCAGATAGCAAACTGGGATTGTTGCTTTTATACAAGATTTACCCATCAATCCCTAACTTTCTTTTTCCTTCTGTCCTCTTGTTTCTCATGCATACATTCCATTTTGGATTGTCTTCACTCTATGTTAACAAGAGGAAGATCAGGATATTTATTAGCTGAGAGATGCTGACTCCCTTGGATGAAGTGCTAAGCTAATGGACATGATTCATGGTCCAGAAAACTATTCCAAGACAAAAGATAATAAATATAGGAGATGTAGAGACCACAAAACAACAAAATCCTACAGATGAACAGTAAATAAATTATTAGTCATTATTAGTAGTTTGCATGACAATTTTCTGTGTTTAGAAAATAGCAAAACTGTCGTTACACATTACTCACAAGCTAAAGAATCAGGAAACATCTTGTCACTTCTAATATGTATGGGCAACTTCTGTGTTTCCCTTTTTAAAGGTAAGGACCACCTGTCCCTCACCCCAATAACGACTCTCCTTAATCTAGTTTATTTCCTCACTGGAAAGAGGCCCTCAGGCTTATCATTGGAACCTCCACCCCAGATAACCCAACTGTAACTGCACCTTCCTATACTAGCACTTCATTTCCTGGAAAGGAACAGAGAGCAAATTATTGTTCCCGCTATACTAAAACTTGTTATAAAAAAGTTGAATCATCTCCTACATGTTTTGAAAAGTGTTTTGTTACCTGTATCTGTATAATCCCTAGCACAATGTACCCTCTGACAATAGAAACATCAAACTCTTCTAACCTGATTTGTATTGTAAAACGATCTGTTTTGCTGTGTAATGGCTCCATTGGCTTGAATCAATCCACCACAGGATTTAGATAGTCGGAACTGGCCAGTCTTGCGTCTCTGGTAAAAATGGTAAAAGAAAAGAAAAAAAATTTGAGAGACCATTGACTAGTAAACACTTAACTTTACACCAATTACCCTTAGTTTGCTTCCAAGTTACAGTTCAGTCTAATGCTGAAAAACTTTATATCACAAAAAGCACAAATTTATTATCATAACTGTTATAAACAAAATGGTTGTCTGTGCTTAATGCTCCTCACCACACATTTTCTAGCATACTGTAAACATACTGATGGAATGGACTGACACAACACTCCACTCAAAAACCACAGGCTATGTGCTTTCTTTTTCTCACACACTACTTCCAATTATGGGTTGTCTCTTAATAAAGAAAAATTCCTCTCCCTGGACTTGCAGAGAAACAGAGTTTATGCGCTTTTTTTAATCTATAACTGTCCATTCAATTGTCTTTGTGGCCAGGACTTGAGAAAAACAAATTACAGGGTAAAAGCTAGCACTACAACCACTATAACCTCACACCACGTGTTTTGTACTAGAGACATACTGCACAATAAAGAAAACTATCAAGTAGGAGTGAATGGGATCTCCACGTAAGAAGATGCATAGCCTCCCAGCACAACAAGATTAGCAGTAACTTGTTTATGAATAATTCAGACAAAGTAACTATGCTGGTTTGTTCAGAGTAGTCAGTCCCAGAAGCCTACTGAATCTACTGGTGGCTCAGAGTAAGCCCCAGCTTTATCAATCAACTTCACAACTGCTCATTTCCTTCTCTACTTCCAACATTGTATGTTACTTGATATGGACTAGTGCTTTAATAGTATGGTTGTGTCACAAAACCATGGGCAGTTTTCCAAGGGCTGGAAGGTATTATCTGAGAAAAGATCTCCAAGCCAAAGAGCTTACAGGTAAGTTTCCAATTCTGTAAGTCATGGCTCTATCATACAATTTGTAATATATATAGGAGGACAAAGAAGAGGCTTATTCTCATCCCATTTCATTGTACGTGAGAAGGAAACACCAAGAGATATAGTCTAATTCTGTACAGATAGCCTGCATCTATTCCCATTTTCTACATGTTTTTCACTTCTATTATTAACTGCTGTTACATGATGTTCTAGTTCATTTACAATGTATAGACACAATCTGACACTATGAACGCTATTACAGAACTGGAAGCAAAACTGCAAAGCAGTGCTTTCCACTGAAACGACGCTACTTAATGTTATGCTGTGCTAGATAAACATACCATCAGTACAACAAAGTCCAAGGTTACTGTACAGTGGAGACATTTTATAAAATAAAGTGTTGGAAAATACATGCAATTGGGACTAGTTGCTTTGAAAACATGACATCTACATTTGGACTTCCGCATTTAATCTATTCATGACAGATCATCTGGATCCCAGAAAAGACTGCATACCTGGAATGAAGACAACTATGTAATAAAGAGTGGGAGCTCACCCTTCTAGCAGCAGAAAGCTTTTAAGTTGCCTTGATAGTTAAGCCATACACAAACAGTGAAGACATCACTTTTGGAAGCCTCTTTATTTAAAAAACATTACTTTTTCTTACTAATTTAAGTTTATCCCATTTCTTACACACTTTAACATACTCTGATATCCTACCTGGAAAATACCATAGAGCATCCGTCTACACTGGCCTTGGACTGGAGTTGTCTGTAATAATCGACTGCATGCTGTTATCCATTGAGATACTCCAGTCTGGCAGCTCTGGAACAGAGAGACTAGCAATGAAGAAAAGCACCCTAATACTCAGAAACAGTTTAACTTTCCTCCTGCTTCCACAGGTTTTATTAATTTATATAGCAATCCTCAGATTAAAGCCCCGACTTGCACTTGACAGAAGTATAAATTTTGATTTAAAAACGATCTTGCCTTCCAGTAGAAGCATGCAACCCAAGTTTGATGGCAGAAACAGATCAGTCAAAGGAAATGGTGGGCTGTCTACATCATAAACCCACACATTTTTTAGATCTATACAATAAATTCAAATCCTTAAGAAGCACTCTTCATTTTACTGAGTAATCCCTAAAAAGCCCTCATCCAACTCCCTCAGCTTTTATGCATCTTTGTCTTACTTAGGCACAGCTAAGAATTTTAGTATTTCAAGAGCTTATATTGTCCCCATAAATTTCAGTGAAGATATTTTCTGTAATGAAAATGTCAGGTAATATGGAAAAGAGGTAGGGTTTTCTCTGCACTTTTCATTTTCTGCAATATTTAAGTTAGTCCAGTATTTGCCTCCTTCATACACATTCCAAATTGATACTGGAAATAATGTGTATATTATTTAAATGGATATGCTTTTTTCTAATAAAAATAGCTTCATTTTCAGTTGGCCACAATGATCATTAAGAGATCAAAGCATCCAACATGGGAAGAGGTTTAGCTTTGAGAAAACAGACTCCAAGGGAAATCTTATCAATTTGTATAAATACCTGATGGGTTGGGCAGTCAAACTCTTCTTAGTGGTGCCTGGGGGAAGTACAACTATGAGACTAGCAGATCTGCCCCTAGATTAGGAAGAACAGACACAAAACCAACTTGAGCTCCCATTCCTGATTCCCTGTAGCTGCGTAGTCGCTGCTGTCCCTCAGGTGCAGTGTGCAGCCTCCTCAGGCTGTCCCTCCTCAACTCCTCACAGAGCTGAAGGGAACTGGTTTGGGTTTTTAAAAACTGCAAGGGGAGAGGCGCACTACCATGACATATGTGATTAGCGTTCACTACTACTATACCTTCCCACTTCTACTCTAGTGATACTACTTAGTTTCTGCTCTTTCTCTATAACATCACTACCCAGCAAGTAATATTATGAAAATTATAAATTTCTATCCAAAAAGACATTTCAGCTGAGTACCACAAAGTACTTCTTGAGGTAATCCAATGCTCTGCCATAAACAGTTTAACAAACACTTAAGTGAGAAAGAAAATTCATCATTTTTTACAAATAATTACAAGATGCCAAAGCATCTGACATAATTTTTCTGAGGTTTTTTCTTTGTAATAAGAAGGAAAACATGCCTAGGTTGTGATATGTCTTAGACCTTGAATATACTAGAGTTTATAGCTGTAGAAAAGCACTACTACAACAAAACTGGACAGACATATGAAAACATAAGCATAGAACATAAAATAAGCATAAACACACTTAAAAGGTGAGATGTGATAAACAATCAAGTAATAACGAAAAAGACAACAGCAGAAAGTGGCAGAGCAACAGAAGGGGAACACCATGAGCTAAGGAATCTTCCCTAAGTCATCATCACTGTTTGCATATCTTAACCTTCCCTTCAAATTACAAGTGCTTCTTTCACTTCTTCATTTGCCTGAAAGAAAATGTACAAAGCATAAACTGAACAGTATTACTCAGGAATAGTCTGCAGACAGGGCAAGCACCTCCTGCAGCTAGCTGCCTTGTCGAGATACAGGTGAAAGACTATCACTATGTTCTTCTAAATCCTCCTGACAACCATTTGGTAAGCCTTAGGTAGCAGACAAACTATTCATTAAGATGTCTTAGGTGAAGAACAGCTTTATCATAATGGCATTATTAACTAGTTGAGCTGAAACATTTGGACAATAATCAGGACAGTATCATAAGCTGTGAGCTCCTGAGAAGGCTTGAAGTTAGAAGAAAAAAAAAAATTTCCTTATTTCCACTACAAAGAAGACACACTGAAAGTTTGAAGGCAACTATTAAATTCTAAGGCAAAAGCAGATGCTGGAAAATGCCAAGGATCAGCAAAGCTTGATCTGAAGCATATTGACTGTCAGAAGTCCCCTGCCTCCCATCTGTGTACTCTCACCACTGCAGCTCATGTGCTTCTCTGATTACAAGGTAAGGCACTTCAGATCACAAAAAAGAGAAACGGCTACACCTCCTCCACTCCAAAAATAAATTTTCCTGGCCAGGCTGAAAAGTCAAATCAGCTTACTTTGCCAGCTGGCAGAGAAGATGCCCAGAAACAGGTAAGCCTAGGAGACAAGTCCTTCCCCTTCTGCAGCAGGTTTTCATTGCAAACTACACTCTGGGGTACAGCTCTACAGACAGCAGAACCCACCTGGTGACTTACTGCTTTTCTATCACTCGCCCTGCTCCCCTCCTCCCTTTTTGCTAGTGATTGCCTCTTTAACACATTAAAACTGCAGGAAACTTTTTATGTTGCCACAGTTCTGCTGTTCCATCCTTTAGAGCATAGGAGCCAAGAAAAGTGCTGGAGGAGGCAATGGTAGACACCAGTGTGAAGACATGAGCGAGGCATGGGAATGGGAGAAGGAAGAACTCCAGCTCACAGCTTCTCTCAGGCAGCTGTGCTCAGTTGCTTTCAGCTTGAGAGCTGAAAGGACAGGGTTCACCATGCTTGTAAAAACCACACCCTGAGACATCAGTTCCAAGAACTTAGTGGATTGATTTCATAAGTGGTTATTGCCCTCTGACTAGAGGTCTTTCATGTTCTTGACAAATATGGTTCCACCAAGCAGCACTGGCCATCCATGTATTTGTGATGTGACTGAATATCTGACCCAGGCACAAACTTCCTTTTTTTAGGTTATCTGGTAAAAAGTGCTCTGCTCCAAAGAAAGGCTAATAGAAAGAAAAAAAAGCACACAAATGCATGAGACAGAAGAAAGGAGTTGCATGTTTAGTAACCCACTCTCATTCACAGGAACCCAATCTCTTCCACTTAACACAGAAACTAGAATTTTTATATTAATCTTGCTATCAAACACCTCTAAAGCGATAAGGGAACCTCTAAAAATGGCAATCCCCACCCCACAGGACACATAACCTGTGCCCAAAGCAACAAGAAAAGTACCAGCCTGAAAAAATGATTTCTCAAGCCCCAACCAGGAGCACTAAGCAGAATTCTTATTATGTAATTCCTTGCAGAATTCTTATGTAAATACAAACTCTGAAGGAAAAGTTCAACCGGCTCCTTCACCGGAGAGGGGCCGGGGGAGGGGACCACGGGGAGGCGGGAACAGTCACCGGGTGCCGCAACCCCCCCGCAGACACCCCCACGGCTTCACAAGCACCGCCGAACAGCCTCTTCCTCGCACACGCTGTCTGGGGGGAGGCCGCGCCGCAGACAAGCCGCGCACAGGGCGGGCAGGCAGGCAACCCGCCGGGGCCGCGCGGGACAGCCC